CCTCCTGCTCATCCTTCTCCTCCTCTTCCTCCTCCTACTCTTCCTCCTCCTCCTCCTACCCTTTCCCCTTTTACAAGTACCCAATATGAATACTACTCTCCTCTCTCCCCTGACTCTGTCTGGAGAGTCTCCCGTCATCTCCGCGTATTGTTCCCCACCCGACAGGTTGGGGTCGTTATATGTTAAGAACAGACCACCCGACCCGCCCGCCCTGCCTGCATACTGCGGCCGCCAGATCCCTAGGCTCCCGATCATCCCTGGTGGTCCCGCCCCTCCCCCCCCCCCCCCGCCCTGCATACCGTGGCCGCCAGATCCCTAGGCTCCCGATAATCCCTGGTGGTCCCGCCACTCCCCTCCCGATAATCCCTGGTGGTCCCGCCCCCCGCGCCGACTCGCCCACTTTACATACTGCGGCCGCCAGATCCCCAGGTCCCCAAAAAATCCCTGAGGGTCCCGCCCCCCGCGCCGTCTCGCCCACTCTGCAAACCGCGGCCGCCAGATCCCCAGGTCCCCCACAGAACAGAACATAGCACCACACTACCGAACAGAACATACCCGAGCATAACATACCATATCATGACAGACCACATCGTAACAGAACACACCATAACAGAGTAGTGCATACCATAGCACAGCATCACAGCACATTGCATTACATAGCATGACAAACCAAGCATGTCATAACGAAGTAATGCAGAACTGAACATACCAAACACACACCATGTCACATCATTACACAGCATGGCATAGCATTAATTAACATCGTATGATACAACAGATCGCAGCGTACACGCTATAACATACTAGAGCATTGAATAGCATGGCAGAACAGAGCATCACATACTATATCATGACAGAACAAGCCACATCATGACACAGCATCACAGCACTTATCATTACATATCATGCCAAATCATAACATGACAGAGCGCGGCATAATATGCTATAGCATAGCCGAACATAGCGTCGTAGCAGCACACCAGAAGCTATGACAGAATTGGTAACACAGAAGATCGCATAACAACACATATCACAGCACAGCATAACAGAGCATAAGATGGCATGCCATGACAAAACATATCATATCAGAACATACGCCGAAGGCTTTGGTGGGGATCGCTCGAAGAAAAAAAAAAAATACACACAAAATTGAATTATTTGGTTTTCCAATTTGCTTCTTTAATGCGGTCGGTTCCGGCTCTTCCAAAATAGTGTTCCCACTGCAGCGCCGCCCTCAACTCCGCGCTTCGGCCATTCAAAACCGTGCTCCCGCTGCAGCGCTGGCCTCGTTCCCGCAGCAGCACTGGCGTGTCGGGTCCTTCCAAGTAGCGCCGTCGCTGTAGCGCTGGCCTCGTTCAAATGCTGCGGTCCTTCAAAAATCGCGCTCCCGCTGCAGCGGTGGCCTCATTTCCGTTTTCGGTCCTGGCCTCGTTCCCGCGGACCCCTTCTACATCGTGCTCCCGCTGCAGCGCCAGTCCAGTTCCAACTGTGCGAACAGATAGGGGATCTACGCCAGAGTAAGGGATGGGAGGAAAGAGTAGGACGTCATATGTGACACTAGCGCGCCTAGCTTGTCTCCTCCCCCTCCCCCTCCCCCTCCTCTTCCCCCCCCCCTTCACCTCCCCCTCCCCCTCCTCCTCCTCCTCCTCCTCCTCCTCCTCCTCCTCCTCCTACTCCTACTCCTTTTCTTCCTCGTTCTCCTTGCTCCTCCTCTTTTTTCTTATCAATCGCCATGTTATTATCATGTTTCTTATTATTATTATTATTAGTAGTATTAGTGTTATTCGTCATATCATTCGTACTATTATTTTGGTTATTCTTACAATTATTATCATTTCAAGTACTGATACAATTCATATTCGTATTAGTATTCTTCTTATGATTAATATTAGTGTTACTATTATTAGCCCTCTTATTCTTATTAGTATTATTATTATCCCTCCTCCTCCTCCTCCTCCTCCTCCTCTTTCTCCTCCTCCTCCTGCTTCTCCTTCTCCTCCTCCTCCTCATCATCCTCCTCCTCGTCCTTGTCAGCATCATCATCAACAACAAGAACAACATCATCATCATCATCATCATCATCATCATCATCAGCATCATCACCATCACCATCACCATCACCATCACCATCACCATCACCATCATCATCATCATCATCATCATCATCATCATCATCAGCATCATCATCATCGTCGTCGTCATCATCATCATCAGCTTCATATTCCAAATTATTGTCATCATCATCATCATCAGCATCATCATCATCAACTTCATCATATTCATCATCTTCTTCATCATCACCATCGTCATCATCAGCATCAGCATCATCATCTCTGTCATCATCATCATCATCATCATCATCATCATCATCATCAACATCATCATCATCATCATCATCTTCATCAACTTCATCATCTTCTTCATCATCACCATCGTCATCATCAGCATCAGCATCATCATCTCTGTCGTCATCATCATCATCATACCTGTCACCAGCATCATCATCATCATCATCATCAGCATCATCATGATCATCCTCATCCTCATCCTCATCATCATCGTCATGATCATAATCAGCATCATCATCGTCATACCCATCATCAGCATCATCATCAGCATCATCATCAGCATCATCATCATCCTCATCATCCTCATCATCACCCTCGTCCTCGTCGTCGTCATCATCATCCTCATCATCATCATCAGCATCATCACGGTCACCATCATCATCATCATCATCATCATCAGAATCATCAGCATCACCATCACCACAACCATCACCAAAACCATCACCAGCGCGTTCATCATCAGCACCATCATCAGAATCACAATCACCATCACCATCACCGTCATCATCAGCATCAGCATCATCATCTCTGTCATCACCATCATCATCATCATCATCATCATCATCATCATCTTCATCAACTTCAACATCTTCATCATCTTCTTCATCATCACCATCGTCATCATCAGCATCAGCATCATCATCGTCATCATCATCATCATCATCATCATCATAGTCATCATCATCATCATCATCATCATCATCATCATCATCATCATCATCATCATCATCAGCATCAGCATCAGCATCATCATCATCATCATCATCAGCATCATCATCATCATCGGCATCATCATCATCATCAGCACCATCAGCATCATCATCGTCATCAGAAACAACTGCGAGCATCATCATAACCATCCTCATCATCGTCATCATCATCGTCAGCATCATCAGCATCAGCATCAGAATCAGCATCATCAAAATCATCATCACCATCACCATCAGCATCACCATCATCGTGACCATCATCATCATCATCATCATCGTCGTCATCATCATCTTCATCATCTTCAGCTTCATCGTCATCAGCATCATCATCGTCATCATCATCAGCATCATCATCATCAGCATCATCAGCATCAGCATCAACATCGACATCATCATCAGCAGCAGCATTAACATCATCATCAGCATCATCATCAGTATCGTCATCAGCAGTAGCATCATCATCATCATCATCATCATCATCATCATCATCATCATCATCATCATCATCATCGTCATCGTCATCCTGCTCCTCCTCATCATCATCATCATCATCATCATCATCATCATCATCATCATCATCATCATCATCATCATCATCCAGATCATCATCATCATCAGCAGCAGCATCATTCTCAGATTCTTAGAAGTACTAATAATACGACTAACAACAACAATTCGCCGGCCCAACGGGCCAGAGGCGTACTAAGATCTCCAGTAACTGGTGAACAATTCTTCTAGTTCGCGCGCGCGGGGCGGCCCCTAGGGTTCCCCGGCGAAAAGTACCCCGACCGCAGCCCGGGAAGGTCTACTCAGAGATGGTTTTGAAGGCCTTTTTTCGACACCCCTCACGAGGATTGTGGCCTCCGAGGGGGGTGCACTCGACTACCCCGCCCCAAGAGGCCCCCAAGAGCCCCCCAAGAGGCCCAAGGGGGCCCCAAGACGCCGCCAAGGAGCCCCAAGAGACCCCCAAGAGGCCCCCAAGAGGCCCCTAGGAGGCCCTAAAGAGGCCCCCAAGAGGCTTCAAAGAGGCCCCATAGAGCGCTCGAGGGCCGGCGGAATGAGCGAAGCGATTAAATAAGAATAGTAATAATACTGAGAATCATCATCAGCAGCAGCAGCAGCATCGTCCTCGTCGGCGGCAGCAGCAGCAGCCGCACCAGCAGTCGCATCAGCAGCATCACCGTCACCATCACCATCATCATCACCATCATCACCATCATCATCATCACCATCAGCATCATCAGTATCATCATCATCATCATCATCATCATCATCATCATCATCATCATCATCATCATCATCATCATCATCGTCGTCGTCGTCGTCAGCAGCAGCAGGAGCACCAGCACCAGCACCAGCACCAGCACCAGCAGCAGCATCACCATCACCATCACCATCACCATCACCATCACCATCACCATCACCATCACCATCACCATCATCATCATCATCATCATCATCATCATCATCATCATCATCATCATCATCATCATCGTCATCGTCATCGTCATCGTCGTCGTCATCGTCAGCGTCATCTTCATGGTCATCGTCATCGTCATCGTCATGATCATCATCGCTACCACCACCACCCCCATCGTCGCCGTCGTCGTCGTCGCCGCCGCCGTCGTCGTCGTCGTCGTCATCTTCCGGGGGAGGAGGCGCGAACCGACCCCCACGGCTGGGACCGCAAAAGCTTGCGCACATCCACGATCCTTCGAACCCGCAGCCGTGACGGAAGCACGAGGCAGGCAGAAGGGGAGGACTAGGTGGCGACATCCGAACCCTTCCCCGCAAACCACCGATTCTTCTGAATCGATGGGGGGCGAGGGCTAGGTTCGGATTTCGCAACGTGTTCGACGAAGTCCGAACCCTACCCCGCCGCCATTCCAGTTGCCCGAATCGTTGATCAGCGATGGTCGGGTTCGGATGTCGCGAAGGATTGCTAAAGGAGGCGGAAGGTGGGAGGGAGCAACAGATCCTTCAGATCCACTATCTTGACGGTCTCCATCGCCTGCTTGTACGAAATCAGGCTCTCGCCGGCGGGCGTTGCGCTCACCTTCGTGTTCTCCTCCAGCCCGCCCTCTTCCGTGGGGTCCTTGGCTGGGTACTCCTGTGCAGGGAAAAAGCAGCCAACAGCTTCCGACACTGCGGCCCCCCCCCTGGAGCAGCAAGGGAAGGAGTGCGAGGAAGAGGAGGACGCCGCAAGGCATGTATTCCGAAGCATCCTTCTTGAAGTATGTGACCTCGTCCGGTGTGAACATCTTCCATATCACCTCAGCAGGCGCAAGGAGAAGGCCCTGCGTCAAGGACCAAAAGGGGGGCACACTCAAGCAAGGTCAGCTCGCGCCATATCTGACATACAACCCCTCCCGCCCATATCCTCCCATTGCAGTGTCCGCCAACGGGAGTCACAGCGGAAATGGAAACAAAACAATGGCCTCATCGCGACACTCGAAATCAGGGAGGGGAGCTGTGCACATTGAAAGAAAAGGGAAAGGAGGACGAGGAGGAGGTGGCGGATGAGATAGAACCCCCCTGTGGACAGCATCAGGGAAAAGGAAGGGTAGTATTCATATTGAACGGTTGTGGAGAAAGGAAGCCGGGGAAAGGGCAGGGGAAATGAGACGGGGAACGGGAAGGAAAAGGAAGGGGGAGGAAGGAGGGGGGGAGGAGTGGGAGGAGAGGAAGCAGGGAGGGGCGGGCGGGGACAGAGGGGGAAAGGGAGAGGGGTGGGGACAGGGAAGGTGGGGAGGGGAGGAGAGGCGAAGGGAAGGGCGAGGAGGCAGTGGCACTTGGGAACTTTTTCCGCTTCCCCCTCCTCCTCCCTTCCTCTTCCTCGCCTACTTCTTCCCGGACACCGCCACCTCCCCCCCCCCCTTCCACCATCCTTGTCCTCGCGCCTCCTCCCTGTTGCGCCGCCGTCCTCACTTGCGCAGCGCCTTCGGGCCTCCAGGGCCCACACCCTCGCGCGTGCGGGCCCGCGCGAGCGGGGGCCCGACCGTCGCGAGCGGGGCCCCCCGGACGCCACTGGGGGGCGGTTTCCAGGGTGGAGGGAGGGGAAGGGGGAGGCCCCCACACCATCCAGCTGACCATTATGAGGCCCACGGAAAAAAGGAGGGAGGAGAATGAGGGAGCGGCGGGGCCACTCAGTGGAGAGAGCTGCTCGTACCGAGGACGGCGCACCTTGCGCGTAAGTTGTGCACGGCGCGCCTTGTCCGTAGCGCTGCAGACGACGTAGGTGACAGGCATTCGGTAGCACGGTGTGCCAGTATCGAGGTCGCCGCCATCCTCCTCCTCCTCCTCCTCCTCCTCCTCCTCCTCCTCCTCCTCCTCCTCCTCCTCCTCCTCCTCCTCCTCACCATCATCGACACCACCACGACATCATCACCATCATCCTCATCATCATCATCATCATCATCATCATCATCATCATCATCATCATCATCATCATCATCAATCATCATCATCATCATCATCATCATCATCATCATCATCATCATCATCATCATCATCATCATCATCATCATCAACATCAACATCAACATCATCAGCATCATCATCATCATCAGCATCATCATCATCAGCAGCATTATCATCAGCATCATCATTAGCAGCATCAGCAGCACCAGCATCATCATCATCGATCGAGAGCAGCATCATCATCAGCATCAGCATCAGCATCAGCAGCATCATCAGCATCGTCATCATCATCAGCAGCACCAACATCATCGTGTTCATCTTCATCCTCTTCAGTATCGTCATCATCATCAGCATCAGCATTATCAGCATCAGCATCAGCATCAGCAGCAGCATCATTATCATCAGCATCATCATCATCAACATCAGCATCAGCATCAGCAGCATCGTCATCAGCATCATCATCGTCCTCATCATCATCATCATCAGCAGCAGCAGCCACAGCAGCGTCATCATCCTCATCATCAAAATCATCATCATCAGCAGCATCATCAGCATCATAATTGGCAGCATCATCATGAGCAGCATCAGCATCAGCATCCTCATAAGCATCAGCAGCATCATCATCATCAGCAGCAACATCATCAGCAGCATGATTATCGTCACACCACCACCGCCGCCGCAAACATCATCATCAGCGTCATCTGCATCAGCAGCAGTATCATCAGCAGCAGCATCATCATTATCGTCGTCGTCATCATCCTAATCGTCATCATCATCATCATCATCATCATCATCATCATCGTCATCATCGTCATCATCATCATCACCATCACCATCAGCAACAGCATCATCATCAGCATGTTCATGAGCAGCAGCAGCATCATCAGCAGAAGCATCATCATCACTTCCATCATCATCATCAGCATCATCATCATCGCGCCGGCCCCAAGCCGCCTTAACCCCGCGGAGCGGCTGTCACCCCGACGAGAGACCGGGGGGCGGCGATGGGCGCGAGCCCAAGGAATGAACAAAAATGCAGAAGGACATGTTTTCCTCTCTATTTTCCACGGCAGCGCAGATTCCTGGAGGGGTCATCAGCCCCTGAAGCTGCAGGGAGGCCACGTGTCGAGGCCTACCTGCCCGTGCCCACACTACCAGACTTCCGTTTGGCGCGGCTTGCCGAGGGTGGGAGTCGAGCAGAGCGAGGCTTGGGCGGGCCAAAATATTCGAGAATCTGTGCTGGGAGCCGCTGTGAAATCTTATCAGATTGCTGCAACTGCTGGCGAGAGAGCGAGGAGCGGTTCCGGAGCATCCCCGCGGGCTTCGCGCAACGCAACACAGACGATCGGCTCAGCCATCTCCCTCGAGCCTGAAGCTTGTCAGCTTCGTCTTTAAAAAACCATGCATCATGACTTGGACCGGCGCGCCGAAGGGCATGAGGCGTGAGCGGCAGCTTTTCTGAGAAGTGGGCCCTACGAAACTAGCGGCACAACTTTTCCCATTCTGCGAGGGAGAGAGCGAGGAGGGGGCCAGACGGGGTAGAACGAGCGAGAGTGCGGAGAAGCTGAGCTACCCATTCCCTATCGTGAGCGCCCACTACAGTCGAGGCATCGTACTGGAAATTTTTCGCAGGCACATCCTGAGACGCCGGGGCAACAATCACGACTACTGGATCTCCAGCACGGCGCGGCAGCGAGGCCCGGTCGGCGGCGAGCTGCAGGGCTTCCGTCGGCCGGAGGTAGCAGTCCACGGCGATCCAGGCGGCGGCCGCGGCGACCTTGCCCAGGTGCCCGCAGTGATGAAACCAGAAATCCGTACATAGCCAGACGATCTCCAGCGGCAGCGAGTCCCTCACCTTGTCGGGGTTCGCCCGACCAAAACCGTGAAGAGCAGCTCGTGCGAGAGGAAGCGTGGCTGGCGAGCGGGCCGGAAGCCCCAGGCAGTAGGCCGTCCCGAAGACGGCGTACGGGGCGGCGCTGTTTTTGTCGCCGCGCAGGAAGAGCATGTCGAGGTAGCCGTCGAGGACGTTGCCCCACCCCTCGGCGGAGGAGGGAAGCACCCCGTGGAGCACCGCCCAGGCCCGCGCGTCAGAAAAAGCCCGGCGGTAGGCCGATGCCGTAGCAGGGCGCGCAGACGCCCGCCGGCAGACCCCGGGCTCGCTGCCGTGGTGGCGCTCCCGAGCGGCGGCACGGCGCCGCCGCTCTCGCCGCTGTTCGTCGGGCTCGACGATGGGCGGCAAAGGCCTCGAGCTCGACGGTCCAGTGGCCCCCGTCCCAGTGCTCGATCGCGCCCTCCCAGCCGAGCCGACACCGCGAGCCGACTGGCGTAAGCTCCACGCATCGCCAGTCCGACCGGTGCTCGACCCCCGCCGCGGACGCCAGACGTCGCTCCCAGCAGGCGTCGAGGGGAGCTTCCCGCGCCCGGCGCCAAACCCGCGCCTTGCCCGAGCAGGTCTGCCAGAGCGCGGCAAAGCTCAGGAGGATAGGCTGCAGCGTAGGCGGTGCGCCACGCCGAGCGCTGGCCCGGCATCCGAACTTTCCCCTGGAGCCGGACGTGCGGCGCGCCCGGGCATGGGCAGCGCCGGGCGAACCCCTCGGCGTTCGGGAGGGCGGTGGCGATTGCCGTCGGCTTCAGGGGGGTGCCGAACGCGCGCATGTCCAAGACCAGGTGCGCTGCGCCGAGTCTCCGGAGGGCTCGAGCGATCCCTCGATGCTGGAAGAGCCGCGACTGGGCGGGGTTCTCCAGGACCACGCGGACGCCCATGCGGTAGCTGAGCTCGAGGATGCGGACGGTGAAGTTGACGCACCTCGACGAAGGCGGAGAGGCCGCCCCGGTTGTCCGGGCTGGAGTCCACCCGGTGCACGGCGTGCCAAGCAGGATGGCCCAGATGGCCCCCGCCCGTATCCACCGCACGATTTCTGTAGCCACTTTGCGATTAAGAACATCATGATGCCGACCATGGCGAGTGTCGACAGGGACCCCGACGCGAAGGCCGAGCTCGGCCACGGCTGCCGCGGCTCGCCCGCAGCCCCCGAACAGCTCCAAGAAGGCGGGCCGGGTCCGAGAAACGTCGGGGACCCGTTGACTGGGGGGCCGTTGCCTGAAGTGTCCGGCCTCGCGCCCGGCGGAAGGCCGTGGCCCGGTGGACTGGCCGCGCGGCCGGACGGGGCCGTGGCCCGGAGCGTCCAGCCACGCGGCTGGCGGGGGGCCGCTGCCTGGAGTGTCCGGCTGCTGCTCGGGGGGGGGCCGTTGCCTGAAGCGTCCGGCCCCGCGCCCGGCGGAGGGCCGTGGCCCGGTGGACTGGCCGCGCGGCCGGCCGGGGCCGTGGCCTGGAGTGTCCGGCCACGCGTCTGGCGGGGGGCCGCTGCCTGGAGTGTCCGGCTGCTGATCGGGGTCACTCCTGGGATTCCCTGGGCGGTCTTGCGCCCGCGGCTGCGCCGGCAGCCCGTCGCGGCGGTCGGCGGCCTCCCAGGTCTGGGCCCACCGCGGCTGCGAGCGGCAGCCCGCGGAGGGCTGCGCCCGACACCCTCTGGCCGAGGCGCAGCCACCCTTGGTCGGCGAGCCTCGAGTCCTCGTCCGAGGGGTTGCGCTCCGTCTCGACGCAGCGCCGGTTCCAGTAGAGCCCACTGGCGAGCTGCGCGGCTGCAGCGCGTCGCGCCAGCCCCAGCAGCTCTGCGTCTCGAGCGCGGCCTCGGTCGAACGCCAGGGTCTCCGCGAGGTTGTCCCCGAACCTGAGGACGTGGTGACCGTGCGAGCTGGGCAGCTCGAGCTCGCGGCGGAGGCCCAGGAGGGCGGCGCGCGCCTCTTTGCAGTGGATGGCGGCCTGCCGCCTCCAGCGCCCCACGACGAGTCG